CCTCATATTCTGGGATTCTGTGAAATATCATACAAAAAAATTAAAAAAATAAGTCCAAACCTGATCTCTGCAATCATTTTAAGGTCATGCTGTGTTAAGAAAGTGGAGATTGGGGAAGTGGTGCAGATTATGAGTCTCTCATTTCTCACTGCCTCCATTGTGGGTTAGAAGAGGGGGATCAGTGAAGTGCTATTTTGCTATTTTCGGCATAAATATCCGCTGGGCTAAAGATAGCGCAGCAAAATGGGCCGATTTCACCAGAAATGAGACGAGTGTGGCCAGGGAAGAACAATAAAGCTACTGCTGTGGGTTTAGGAGTCCTTAAAAACGCCGTGTAATCGGAGATCCTCCTCTTGAAGCAGCTTAGGGCAGAGCCGTTGTTATTTTTGTCTGAATTTCAGCGCTATGGAGAAATGAGGCCCTCCACAAGTACAAGGGTTTTAAAGCCCTGTCTGGGTCTGCGTGGCTTGCTGTGTCCCCAGGCCACGGCCCGTTTTTTTGGAACATAAATACCCACTTTGCAGCCTGGTTATTGTTTTTAAGAACCTTTAATTGAAGTCTTGACACTTTTTTCCCCCTTCCTTTTTCTTTTCTTCTTTTTTCTCCTGTTGCATCTTCTCTGCCACTGCTGCTCCCAAGGCTCAATGGGGCTACCTGGGCGAACCCCATCAGTCTCGTTCCTATGGCAAACTACACTGTGCAGAACTCAGATGTTTTTGCGTGCTAAGAGCGATTTTTTTAGTGGTGTTTTGTGTTATGTGCATGGGTAACTTCTGCGGTGGTTTGGGAGGGTGGGCTGTGAGGTGCCATGAAGCCGTTTGATAACAGACAGGCAGGGTTATACTTTGCACACAGCAGCATTGCCGGGTTATTTGCTCTTTTTCAATCTTCTCTTAGGAAAAATAAGTCCTGGTTTTTATAAGAAGCTTCAGTGGAGGCCTTTTGGCTGCGGTGGTTGATTTGGTAGCAGCTCGTAGGCATCGGTTGTTGCAAGACCGGTGTCGTCAAACACAACCTGTTTTCACACTGAGTTTTACCCACGTGTGGCTTTCTTGTCACGTTTTACGTGATGGATTGGAGCTAATTGAAGTGCCAAATAACCAGTAGTAATAATTACGTACAAACATGTTAAATGTAACTGTGTGTGTTGTTGGTCTGGTGGTTTCTGGCTGCTTGGGACTCCCCAAAGGGCTCAGACCTTTAACAGGAGAAGTTTGGGAGGTGTGAGTGGCTTTGCATGGTGTGTAACCACAGCTCGGGGTGCAGCGCGGCTTCTGAAGGCTACGGCAGCACCGAATCATAACGTCCTATTGAGGTGATGCTTTAGAAATCCTTAAACGTAAGGGAAATATGTGCTGTAGGGTAAAGAAAGAGCAAATGAGGCTGTTGGGTTGTGGCATCGGAAACGCCGTTGTGTGTCCCCAGCACTTTTTGGGTACCTGGATCCATGTGTTCTGATTCATTTGGATCAGCTTCCTATTTCTGCTACTATAAATGTAAAATGTGTGTTTGATGCATTGCTGACAGAGCTGAAAGGCTTTCACCTCTGAATCGAGTGTGTCCTGGGAATCCTGGCTTTACCAACAGCAACGACCATGAAATAAATTGTGGGTTTTTTTCCTTTCCTTGCTCTTCTGTCCTTTTTTAAAAGCACTGACATCAAACCATGGGTGGGAGATGGGCTTCTTGCACAAATCGGCTTTGTGATGTAACTCGGATGCTTCAAAATCTGTGAAACCTTTTGAGTTTCAGCCTTTAGTAATTCAGTGATGATCTGCAGCTCTGATTCCTGTCCAAGCCAACGTTGCTGTTTATGCTCCATAACAAAATTAATGGAGCAACAAAGCACTGTCTGGGAGGACAAGTAACCGGTGTAATTGCTTGTTGTGATGAAGATGTTAAATGTTAATTTTATTTCTATTAATTGAAGATTTGTCGCCCTTGGTTTCCTTTCAGTTCCCCCAAATAAATGTATAGGCTGAGCTGGAAGCGCTACCGCTGCTGAGCGCCCTCCTTCTGACCGTGCTCTGAGGGCAGCTGGAGGCAGCGGTGGGCTCAGAAACACGGACCGAGAGGTTTGTTTTTCATAAACAAGATGACTTTGTGTCGTCCGCAGGTGGTTTTGCGATCGTGTTCCTCGTCAGGACTAACAATGGGATGAAGTGCGCCCTGAAGCGGATGTACGTCAACAACGAGTACGACCTGCAGGTCTGCAAGAGAGAAATCCAAATCATGGTACGTGACTGTTGTACGGTGGCACAGACTGGAGTGGTGTGAGAGCCTGGTCACCTCCTGCCTGCGATCTGGGTAGCCTGTCTCAAACCGTGTGTTTTCTTAGCAAAAATGTCTTTCTTTTGGAAAGAGCTGACTCCTGGAGTTACGTGAAAATGTCCTATTGAATTATTGAGAATTTAAATACGGACAGGAAAAGTGTGTGAGCTGAAAAAGCAGAGGGGATCTCAGGAAAAGGATTGGAGGGGAAAACTGTGTCAACCCCGTGGGAAAGGGAAGAGCTGAAGAGGTGAGCATGGTTGGAGACGTTCAACTTCACAGTCTTCAGGGCTAAGCCTTCACCCTCTGAGACTTCATCTGAAAAGGCTGGTGGTTCTGATGTAACATCTCCAAACCCAGATCAGTGCCTGAATGGAGACCTCCAGCCTGAGATGAATTTATATCACCAGAGCTTTTGGGCTGGGATGAAGGCTGCTTCTGTACTGGGGAGGCTGATAGATTAAAACCAGCATCTGGGGGGTAGTTACTGCCTGAGCTTTTGAAACAGGGAGGTGTTTATGATAAACACTGGGATGTTTCTCCAGATTGTTGGATACGAGGAGTTATATGATATTATAACAGCTATTTTATATGGCTGTTTTACACTTAGAGTCTCTAAATGAAGAAAAAAATTCCAATAATCCAAATAGATTTGCTTAATCTTGTTTGGAGCCCAGCAAACATGGAAAGTGCCACTTTTGAAGTTGTATTCAAAGACATCGATGAACATTTAGAGCAACTGCAAGGTAGGGAAGGAAATATAAACCCTGCATTCTGCTGGTTTACAGCACGAGGTACAGGTTTGGGGTAGGTGATCTTCGTATCAGGAGCTCTTACCTGTAGCAATTCTGGGGGTGTTTTTTGAGGCAGCTGTTAATGAGGTTAATACCTTTAAGGTGAATCTCTGGAGTTCGTGCGATAGCGCAGCGAAGCTTTTGGGTGTGCTTTGTCATCGCTGCAGCTAAGGCTGCATGGGAGAAGGTGAGATTGGATCTCATGGCAAAGGTTTTTAATGGTGCACACAGATCTTGTTTACTCAGATCTTACTTGCCGGTGCTTTCCATTCTCTCTGTGTTTTTGGTGCCTTTTTGAAGTGTGTGGCCAACCAGGAAAGTCAGGGTGAGAAGTGTCCTCCTTACTCAGCAAATCCTCTTGCTCCTCTGATAAATCTTACCACGAGCATCAAGCTTTGTCCTGAAGAACCACTGCATCACTAAAAGGAAATATTTTCTCAGCTTTCATGCAATAAAGAAGTGTTTTAAACTTAACCGCAGGTTTTGCACACTTCTACAGTGTCACAGCAGAATGTGGCCAGCAGGAACTTGGTTTCTTTTACTGCTGAAGCTGAACATGAAACTGGTCTGGCTGGCACAGCTCGGGGTGTGTATGAAGCTGACAGACCCTAAAAATGACTTTTTGCTGCAGGTTTAGCATGTGTCGTGGATAATTCATTGATATGAGACCTTGCACTTTAACCCAGCGAGTTATTTTAAATAAGGTACTTCTAAAAGCAAGGTTAAAATGTACTTTATTACCTTGGTGGCATTTTTTGGAGAAGGTTTAAGGTACTGTTTGCCAGCGGAGGAGCGGAAGGAGGTGAGAAAAGCAAGCACAACGGCATGGCCACCACAAACCGTCTGCCTCCTTCTCCCCTCTGCGTGAAGGCAGAGCAGCTCCAAAATCAGGAGCCATCCCTGGCCCGGTTCTTTCATCGGGTTGGCTGTTTCTCTGCTGTTTGTCTCAAATCCTTCAGGAAAGAAAACAGGTAGAGGCAGACCTCAGCTTTGTTCAGGTTTTGCGTGACGGTTAATCCAAAGTGACAGATTAGTGCCTGTTCAGAAGAGCTAGGGAAGCTCTGCAGTGGAGGAACCACATCAAAATGTTGCTCACTCTGTGGCTGACTTATGCTTTGAATTTCTTTGTGTTACAGAGGGACCTGTCTGGCCACAAGAACATAGTGGGGTACATCGATTCCAGTATCAACTCAGTAAGCAGCGGCGACGTCTGGGAAGTGCTGATCCTGATGGATTTCTGTCGAGGTGAGTGTGGCCTCCGTATGTTGTTCACTGGTGGCTTTTTTGTCCCTTTTCAATGCTTACAGGGAACTTGCACAACATTTTCCTTCAGAGAAACCTCACCTCGACCTGGTGCTTCCTTGGCTACCAAGGATTCACAAATGGTTTTGGTTAGAAAGGACCTTTAGGATCATCGAGTCCAACCATCGAACCAGATTCATTCTGAACAAAGCGAGGCCAAAAGCAGGCATGCAGAAGTGGGTGATACGTGAGGCTGTTGACTCAGTTAATGGGATTGGTTCCATCTTTGCCCCACCCAGATGGGTCCTAAACCCTTTCCGTTGTGAAGGAGAACTCTTCAGTATAAACATTGGCATTTTCCACAGGCTGGTCCACACAAGAAGTGGATCCTCTAAAGCTGCCAGGCTGTGGAAAGAAATTCTCCTCCACTTTATGCCATGTTGCAGGCTTTTTCCGCTTCAGCCCGACGTAGGATTGTTGTGGAAGAAGCTTGAAATGGATAATGTGAAGCCAAGAAATATTCCTTTTGCCTCTGACCTTTTTCCTTGGCTGTCTCTGGCCAGACAGGCTCTTCCAGTCTTTCTAGGCTGTCCCGAAGCTTTGATCTCTTGTGGCTGGGATGTGGTGTTTGGAAGCTGACGCGTGTGCTGTGCTCAAATGTCTCTTGCAGAAATAATATTAAGGAAAAATAATGTTGTGGCCAGGTGACTTCAGAGTCTGTGGCTGCTTCGGGTGGTGGCAGCTGATGGAAATAGGTGTCCTTGGGACTGTTTGGCTTTTAACTGAAGCCAAGGTCATTTTAGCAACAACAACTGGGTGCTAAAATGCCTTTAAACGTGTACAGCGCAGCTTTCTGCTCTGCCGTGCCCTCTGCTGCTTTATTTTGATGCAGGTGTCTTGACCAACTTGTGTTGGGTTTGTTTGCTGGTAAAAGGAAGGGTTTATGTGTAGTTTTGCTGAAGGTAATCACTGTGTGAGTTCTCTGTAAGCTTAAACCTAAACATCACAGGAAGCCAGGTAAGAAATAGGCCTGGCAGTGCTGGCAGAGCCATACACAGCTCCACGATGCAGACCTCACTGTGGAAGGGACTGCCTCTGTCTCCAGAATTCAGACTGGAGCACAGGATTTGCTGTTGTACGTGGGATTTTCCCTTGTTACGTTCCTTTTGTGTCAAACGCTTTCCAAACCAGATCAGTGCATCTTCATGTGCAGGGCTGCGCTCACTTTGAGTCTGAAATGTTCCCTATTTATTAAACTGAGCTTTTCTTTCGTGCAATGCAAATAAGGTTTTCCGACACTTGTGATGTGAAATGGTAGTTTTACTTTGCCAAAGGCTCAGAAAGGAGTTTTTTCTCTGTATATAGGGTGTTTTGAGGGGCAAAGGACCTTGTGTGTGGATTGTTCAGAAAAGGCCTTGACAGCAACAAAACCTCAAAGCTGAGGCAAATTCAGGACTCATTCATGAAAACTTGAGTGCCTGTCTCTCCTTCTTCTTGCTTACATGTAGCAAACTGGTTTTTGGACCATGAGTGCCCCAAATTCAGCTTTTTATTCAAAAAAAGGACTTATTTTGCAGAAGAAAGAAAACGATGCAGCTTGGTTGGAATGATGTTTGAGTGCTACCACGGCCAGGTGAACGTGGGCCTTAGAAGCAAACTCTTGCTGCTCTTGAAGCGTCGTCCAAAGCCAAGATGAGACACAACGCCTGCTGGCGGATGTGCCAAACCCCCTGGGATTTAGGCAAGGAAATGAGGAGGAAATACGATGAGTAAGCTGTTGAGGTTTAGGGCTGGGCTGGCAACTAAACACCGGCCAGACGCTCTCTATGAACCCTTCTGCCCGCCCCAGGAGGGGAAGAGAAAGAGAAATAAGGGAGAGAGACTTACGGGTTGGAAGAGAAAACAGATTTAATGAAACAATAATACAGATACTACAGGATAATAATGTAAATAGGTAAATAATGAAATATATACAAATGTGTACAAATATATATATAAAACCAATATAAAATCCTTTTGATGATGAAAAACATCACCAGAGGCTCTGTGGAGCAGGGCACTGGGAAAGTCCCAGTCAGGACCCAGCAGCAGCGGGAGCTGATGCAGCAACACAGAGATCAGGATCGGAGGCAGCTGAAGCAGCAAGGTCTGCTCATGCAGAAGGTGGAAGAAGAGAAGGGCCGATACCCTTGTGCTCCCTTAGCTTTACACTGAGTATGGGGAATGGAATACCTCGTTGGTCAGTTTTGGGTCATCTGTCCTGTCCACTCCTCCCTACAAGTGTGGACACGACACCCGTGGTGTGACAGTGGTCTTGCCGTGTTTACTACTGTACAAGCCGTGTCGCTTGTAGAAGTGAACACTGTCTGGAAAAACGTGCTGTTGGTTTCAGCAAGTACAACCACTTCGGAGAGACTGAGCTGAAAAGTACAATCACTAAGTAGAAAATGAGTTCTGTTTAGCTCAGACCAGCATAGGAAGCATAGAATCATGAAATGGTTTGGGTTGAAAAGGACCTCAAAGCTCCCCCAGCCCAGCCCCCATGGGCAGGGACACCTCCACCAGCCCAGGCTGCTCCAACCCCGTCCAACCTGGCCTTGGGCACTGCCAGGGAGGGGGCACCCACAGCTTCTCTGGGCAACCTGGGCCAGGGCCTCACCACCCTCTCATGGAAGAATTTCTTCCTAATATCCAGTCTAAATCTGCCCTCTTCCAGTTTAAAACCATTCCCCTCATTCTATCTCTACCTGCCCTTGTAAAAAGTCTCTCCCCAGCTTTCCTGTAGGACCCCTTCAGGAACTGGGAGACTGCAATATGGTCCCCCTGGATCCTTCTCTTCTCCAGGCTGAACAGCCCCAGCTCTCAGTCGGTCCTCGTAGGGGACCTCAGCCCCTGAGCATCTTCATGGCCTCCTCTGGGCCTGGTCCAACAGCTTGCAAAAAGCCTCTTGGGAAGGCTTGGTTCCCATTTTGCATTTGAACTCATGAACTTCTCATGTGCTGACTGCGCAGCCCCAGGAGCTGACCAGGACATGGTGTGTGTGGTGGGACTGGGGCATTTTGGGTACCTGTGCTGATCCTGGGTGCTTGTTTCTCTGCAGGAGGTCAAGTGGTGAACCTCATGAACCAGCGCCTACAGACGGGCTTCACGGAGAGCGAGGTCCTGCAGATCTTCTGCGACACCTGCGAAGCTGTAGCCAGGTTGCATCAGTGTAAAACACCAATAATCCACAGGGATTTGAAGGTGAGTTGTGGGCTCTGGTAACGCAGCACGGAGCGTGCATCCTCCTTAACGTGTCCGTCGCCTACACCACGGCAGGTTTCGAGTGCCACTGCTGTGTTTCTGTTGGTAGTAATGAGAAAAAGTGGGCATACACACCTCTCTATTGGAAGATAAAAAAGGCAATGAGCCTCTCATTGCTGCTTACCATATGTTTACCATCTATAGATCTGCTCAAAACCCACCAGTGTTTGTGAATAATTCCGTTTTGCGCAGGAGATGTGCCAGGAGGTATCAGATGAATTATTCACGGTGGCTTTTCTACCACCTGAAGCAGCGTTGAATGTTGTAAGGTAGTTCCCAAAAGTCGTGCTGTAAATTTCCTAGACCCACATTAAAAGGCTCCTTCCAGAGATGTTGGCCTCAGGGCAGGGGTTGTTGGAAGCTTTGGAAAGTGGCCTCTAACCCTCTGGTGACCATGAAAGGGCGTTGTAAAACTGTGTGTGCTTTGCTGGGAACAGAGCTGGGCCAGCGGGGAGAGCGTTTGAAAAACCCCATGCCTACAATCAAACAAATAAGCAAAAAGACCTTCCCTTTCCTCACAACCAGCTCACAAAACGCCTGAATAATCCGTTCAGCCAAGAAGGAGGCTCCTGTGTGCATTTGAAATTCAGATGTGCTTGGTGGGGCAGGTTCTGTTTTCGGAGCCCTCAGCAGATGTTGGCTTTGTGCCGTCGACCCTTGTTTTGTAGGAGGAAAAGATGCCACGCGTGCCAACAAGAGCCAGGTAGTGCAGGGGAGAATATCCTCAGGGTTTGTTTTGAATGACTGTGACCCCACTGCTCAGTTTGAATACATAAAACGAGTCTGACCTCTGCTTTTCCAGAGTGAAACAGATAAAGTTTTAGAAATTTGAGGCTTGGATTTAAAGCTGTTGAGGTCTGTGGCATCTTTCGGGCATTTGTTGCAGGCAAGAAAGAGTGGGGTGAGAGGATGAGGCTTAGGAACAGGAACCTCTACGTTGATTTTAACCCCTGCTGTTATCTTTTTGGTGAATCCCCGGGGTTTTTAGTAAAGAACAAAGTCACTGTGCGGCATGTGAATAAATTCTGGGACATCTGGGATGGATTAGTGAGTCAATCTTGAGTGTTATTTCCTAGCACTAATGGACTGTTGTGGTCTGATGTCCTGCCCGGTCTGGGGGCTCAGATCACGAAAGTTTTTGCAAGGCCTGGCTTGATAAGCTGTGCCCAAGGTCAGAGTTGGCTTTTCTTGGCTTTGAGACTTGTTTCCCAGTTGAATGTTGTATTATTTCTGTTGTGATCACCTCTGGAGCTCCAGTCACGCTTGAGGCTCTAAGTGCTAACTCAGAATTAAAGACTTAGATACGTTTTGACTTTATCTGAGTTCACCTTTAATAACGCCAAGGGGGAGCTGCAATTCCAGAACAATCCGAAGCGCAATTAAGGTCCAGAAAAGTTTAGTACAAGTTCTGAGTGGAAGGAAAGGCACCCATGGGGTAGGTGTTTTGTCGGGGTGACCGTAGCCCTGCTGAAGAGTGCGCAGATGTTGACTTTGCAGGAGAAGGGCGGCTTTATTTGCCTCCCAGCCCTTTGATGTTGCTCTAACACTGGAGGTTCCTGCCCAGGGAGCTCTGCCAGCAGAAGGGATGGTGGGAATAATCGTTAAGCCCTTGCAGACGAACGCGTGGATTATTTTTGGCACCCGTGGGTGTGATTTTTTTGAGCTCACCCGAAAGGCTGTGCCTGGAGCAGAGCAACCTCCTGTTGGCCCAGTGACCCACACTGGGGACAGCAGCACCTTTGAGCACTGTGCCTATGGGCAAACGGACATCTCAATGCACATAAAGGCCCCAAAAATGATCAGATGCCATCCCTATGTGCTTTTATTAAGGTTTTCCTTCCTGGTTAGCGCTCGGGTGCTGTGTCAGTCCCTGTGCGCTCACAGGCTGTGGTGTTCAGTGCCATGTGCCTTGACTGCCACAAAAGCAGGTGTGTATCAGTGCTACTTTGTCCTAAAAGAAGGGTTCAGAGGCCACTGCTGCTGCAGGGCATTCCCTAAAAGGTTTTATTTTTCTCCTCTCTCTAGAATAAGAACACTTCCCTTATCTTTAGGCTAGGCCTTTTAACAGCGAAGAACAAACGGGCAGACCTTCTTTTGGCTATCTGTTGTGTGACCCTGGCTGTGAAGTCTCTGCTCCTAAGTTGAAATCTATGCAGAGAAACGATAACTGTCGGATCCCCAAGGAGTAGGGTTTAGGGAGGTGGATGGAGGAGAAAATCTATCTAGAGCTGCTGCTGCTGATTTACACAACTACCCTGTACCTCGTGGCAGTTGTCTGCACAGCTTCTTTTCTATTTAACCTTGTCTTTCCACTCTCAGGTTCTATAACGTGTTATAGCTTAGCGCCAACTTTGACTTCTGCAGCTCGGAGCTTTCTGCAGTGAGAGATCTACCCCTTTACCTGTGATGCTGCTGCTGCTCTGAACCCATCTGCTTCCAGGAGGAGGTGACTGGTTTGCAGATGAATTTTACTGTAGTGGACACACAGCAGCACACAGCAGAATGCTGTCAGTCAAGCCAGAGGATGCTATTGATCAAAACATCTTTTTTCTTTCCATCCTTTTTGAAATAACCAGAGGGTAGTGCTCTCATGTTAAGGTTTTAGTTTCTTCAGCTTTCATTTTAGCAGGAGTCCTCCCCGTGTTGCTCTGCTGTTGTTATCTCTGCACCTTCTTCCATCACCCTGCCCTAATGCCAGGTCTTGAGCCTGTGCCTGGAATTTGGATGGATCTGTCTGCAGTGTGTGATACGTAAGATGTTCAGTCCTCTCATGGTACACTCATGGACCAGGTTAAGAATATGCCCGTGCCAAAATCAGCGCTCTTAGGTGTCACTTTGCATTCACTTATTTGTATGAAATACTAAACGAGCTTCCAGAAGTCGATAGTGGATGGTGCCAGAGGAGGAAGGGAAGCTGGAACATCTCTAAAGAGCCCTGAAGGTGCTGGAAAGCAGTCAGAAAGTGTACCTTGATCCTGCATCCCTCCCAGATTGCCACCTCAACTTGGGAATGCCAGCCTTAGAAACCACTGCTCTCACAAGAGGGTAACGTGTGCTGATTTGGCTGGTTAACGAAAGCTTTGTTCCTTATCCATCACCAACCTCTGCCTGTGCAGTGCTTTTATGAATTTACTTCTGGTTTGAGCAAAGAAAGGCATTTGTTTCAGAGGCAGAAGCTGGCTGCATTCTGTAACTATAACAAAGCTTAAAGCGATTTATAGCTAAAGATTTTTTTGGGGGGTCTCAATCTGACTTTGTAAGCACTGGGCACGTCAAAGGCTGCGCTCAGCAGTGGCGAGAACTGGATTGCGGCTTTGAGTGTTTGACTGGCAGAAGGTACCTCCATACTCCATTAAAAAGTCAGTTTTAGGCAGTTTTCTCTGGCTTGGCAGTCGGTGGCAGAAATTCAGGTCCTTTATTTTGCTGTATTATGATTTAATTTATTTTTCTGAGAGTTCCTGCACAAGCCCATTGCTGCATAGTCCAGTGCTGACGTTTAACCGAACTCGCAGGCTGTTTCAGTGAGAAGCCACCGCGTTCGTCTCCTCCTGAGGCAGCGGAAGGGCTCTTCTGGCAGCGTTTGGGGAGGATTTGCAGGGAACAATGCTGTCAGTGCTGATCTGCTGGGGAGAACATCTGTGTGCAGCGCTTTCTTCGCAGCAGATGGATGGCAGGGGGAAGGGGAGTTGTTTAACCCTTGGTTTCAAGCCAGCATTTCCCTCCTCAGCTGCTCTAATTTGGCTGTGTTTTCTGACGCTGAAAATGCTGACTCCTCCTTTTTCTTTCCTTCTTGTAAAGATCATCCTTGATGGAGAGGTCTGCTTCCAAAAGGTTTTGTTAGCGAATGCTTATGTGGTGATTTTCCTGCAATATATGAGCAATGTGTTTTGTCTCTGTTGCATCTGAGCGTTTGACATCAGTTTAAGATAAATATATTTAAACTTGTGTGTGTTCCCTTGAGAGAACACGCTGTTAGTGCTGCTGGACAGATGAGGGACTGGAATACAGGGATGCTTTGCCAAAGCAAAGCACTGAACCCAGGTTTTTCCACATCTTCTATCAGGGTTGTAACATTCAGGCAGATTTCTTACGTGGATGCAAGCTAGATTTTTGTTAACCCATGACTAAGTCTTTAGGAGAAAGGCAGTGACTTTGCATTTACTTATTATTTTTCCAGCTATCCTAGGTGTTTGTTTCAGCTTTGCAGTTGTCTGCTTCAAGCGACCAAATAATATTGGAAAGAAAGGGGTCGCTTCTCTGCTGCTACGACCACTGTGTAGGGAGCACGGGGTACCCAGCGCATCCTGAGAACGAGCAGTGAAGTGTGCGCAGGAGCTGAGGTTTGTTTTGAGAAAGGAGAGGTGGCAGCATGGGAAGCAGCGTTACCACGCTGCTGCCACGATTTGACTTCTGTTTGAGGAGATGTGACAGAGACTTAATGCAAATTTTCTTTGCTGTCGTGTTATGCTTTCACGTCAGGCATGTCTGATGTGTCTTCAGGCACCAAAAACCCTGGCCCATCCGAAGAAAACGAATGTTTGTGGGTTTGTTTTGTGTCTGAACGATTCTGTGTTTGTCTGTGATGCTCGCAGGTTGAAAACATCCTGCTGCACGACCGCGGCCACTACGTCCTGTGTGACTTTGGGAGCGCTACGAACAAATTCCAGAACCCTCAAACAGAAGGGGTGAACGCGGTGGAGGAGGAGATCAAAAAGTAAGCGTGCTTTTCAACTCGGACCTAGTTTGTGTTTGCAAGGTAATTTTGCCCTGTATTCGGACTCACTTTTACTCAGGCCCTTTGCAGCAGATTGGCTGCTGCTGCACAGAAGTGGCTGCTGCAGGTAAATAAGAGCCTGGGGGAAGGTGAAACAATAAATTGAGTTTGCTGGAATTGCTTTGGAGCTGGCAGCCTGAGCGTGCTAATGCAGAGCAGTTGCCCACCTTGACATGCCCTGTTCTGTACGGGGTCAGTCTGTCTCTGTCCCTCATCTATTTTGGCTCGTTAGAACTGCAGTACGGCGGATGACAAAATCCCCGTCCGCGTCATAAATCCTTGCAGTGAGTAAGGGAATGCATGGGCTGACTCCTCAGCTCTTCATGGGTAATGTAAGGTCCTTGAGGAGTTAAACCTGCTCCTTCCCTTGCCCCATGCAGGTCCATCTTGGTGGTGCCACCTCTGTGCACATTGAGCTTTTAAAACAGGAACACAGCAGGATCCAGATCAGGAACGGAGCAGACTCCAGGTCCTTGGTCTCACTTTAGTTTTAACATCATCACTGCTGCAAACTTCCCAGTTCTGTTAACACAATATTCTGGCTAGAAAACGGCATGTTAGAAATGTGTACGAATACCTCCTTTTTGTGAGGATTAAATTACGCCTGCATGGGTTTCCTAGACTTGATTGAAGTGTTTAAACTGCTCCTGGTCTGGCTTTGCAGTCCTCTGGAATGCCCTGTTTGTGCACTCATTAACGAGCCTGCAAACACTTTGCCTTTAGCAACGCTTTCTTGTGATCAGGGTAAACGGCGTGCGAGATACCACAGCAGAAATTACAGACCTGCTGATAGGAAACCTCATCCTAAGAGTCTCTTAAACTGTGGCGCAGTTTCCAGCTCTTCTGTTTGTAGTGATTTGTTGAAGTAAAGTACAGTTTAGCTATAATTTGAAATACTAAATAACCTTTCCCTTGCTTACAGTGACTCTGAGCAGGAGTCCTGGTGGGGAAGTCTGTTTATTAGGAGCCACGTATCCAGTTACAGTCTTTGTGATAGAGCTGGCCAAAGCCCCAGCAGTGAGGACGTTGCAGAGGACATTTAACTACTGACCTTGTTAATGCTCTGAATCCTGGAATATTTCGGGTCTAGTTCTTAAAGTTTACTGTTTTGTGAGTAAGTTGATTGCTTTAGAAAAGATCTTGGTTACTGCTTTGGTTTCACAGGGCAGTTTGCACTGGTTGGTGATGTATTGTTAGTGGTATGTAGCAGATGCTGTTGTTTAAGAAAATATTTTCAAATAGATTATCTTTAGTATCCGTTTCCCTAAAATGAACAGGGAGAGAGCAAATTTTGAATTATTTGTAAATGTGGCATTGTGAAAATGGCTCTGATGTCCCTTTTGAACTCACTGATAAATCTTCCTGCTTACAGGTACACTACATTATCCTACAGAGCACCAGAAATGGTCAACCTCTATAGTGGCAAACTTATTACTACAAAAGCAGACATCTGGGTACGTATAAAAACCACATCACATCGTGCAAGCAGACTGCAGCTTGATTTCATTACTGTAATGGCAGGGTCACTTTCTGGCTGTTTCCTTAAGAGACTGGACAGTTTCTGAATAAAGAGTTCCTCTGCCTGATGTCTGCGATGAGTTACTGCTGAGCAGGGTGGCTTTCGGATAAAACACGTGTGCTCCTTTGTGTGCTACCTCCCGTGTGGTTTTAATTTAGAGATATATGAGACTGCAGGGTTGAATAGTGCAAACCTTAAGAGCTACACCAGAAAATCCAGAGTATCGTGACTTCGTGTGCCTGAGTTGGGTTGCGAGCACATGAAATCAGAGTTACTGCACAGAATTGAGTAGAAAACTGAGAAAATGGATCTTTCCCCAGGAGGAATATCCTGGACAGCGTAACACAGGGCTGAGCTGTCAAACCTGGCCGAAGACCAAGCTTTGCACTGCTGCTTGTAATGATCGGGGCAATGCTGCCCTGTTCTCGTGTGGAGAACAAAAGGCAGCTGTGGTGTAATCCATCCCTGGCTAACCTGCTCGGGGAGGGAGGCTTCCCTTCAGTTGGGACAGAGATGGAAAAGGTCACAGAATCGCTTGGTTGGAAAAGCCCTCTGAGATCATCACGTCCAACCGCTCCTGTCTACCCACTAAACCATATCCTTAAGTACCTCATCTACCCGCCCTTTAAACACATCCAGGGATGGTGACTCCACCACCTCCCTGGGCAGCCTGGTCCAGCTTCTGACGACCCTCTCAGTAAAGAACTTCCTCCTTATCTCTAACCTGAACCTCCCTTGGCACAGCTTGGTGCCGTTTCCCCTTGTTCTATCCCCCATCACCTGGGAGAAGAGCCCAGCACCCACCTCTCCACAAGCTCCCTTGAGGCAGTTGTAGGTGGTGCTGAGGTCTCCCCTCAGCCTTCTCTTCTCCAGGCTAAACAAGCCCAGTTCCCTCAGCCGCTCCTCATCAGGCTTGTTCTCCAGAGCCCTCCCCATCCTTGTGGCTCTTCTCTGAACACGCTCCAGAATCTCCACATCCTTCTTATAGTGAGGGATCCAAGTCTCTGCTGTTTGTAGCGTGGTGGCAATTCAGCAGATGGGCTGTGTTTATAATGCTAATTCAGAGCATATTTGTATGGTTTTTGAAGCCCTCAGCTAGGAAGTAACAAGGCAGCAGCAGCATAAGGAGAGTTTGAATGTATCCTCAGTAGCTCTGCATCTGCATATACAAGAGGGAGAATCGCTGGGGTGACATCTGGGCAGAGTCCTCTGTGCTCCTATGGGGCTCTTGCTGGCAGGAGGTTTGCAGAAATGGACCCTGCACCAGTACCGGGTCACTCGTTTGATGTCAGAGACCCTGAGAGGGGAGGTCACAGCTGCAGCAGCATGAAAAGGGCCTCAAAGGCAGCCAGAGGAAGCCGAGGATTTGTGGTCCTTCCTGTGATAATGTGGAAAGGCGGAGACCCAAGAGCTCTCCTGGTCCTGGCATGGCAGGAATTCTGTAGTGACTCACTGAGTGTTTCCAAACCAGTGTGTGGTGGTCAACAAGGCCACGTGCTGGGTCCTGTACTTGGGTCTCAATAACCCCATGGACGCTGCAGGCGTGGGAATGAGCAGCTGAGAGCTGCTGGGCACAGGGAACTGGGGGAACTGGGCAACACGAGCCAGCAGTGGGCCCAGGCGGCCAAAGAGGCCAACGCCATCCTGGGCTGTCCCAGCACTGGTGTGGGCAGCAGGAGCAGGGCAGGGATCATCCCCTGTGCTGGGCACTGCTGAGG